AATATGTGAATAATATAACTGAAGGAGTATGACAGAATGTAGTACGGAATAAAATTGAATTAGAATATATTGTTTTCTTGGTGAAATGCTAATTCGAGTAGTAAACCTAAATATTGTCTCTATTAGTAATGCAAAAAAATAGTATTTATTCCACTATACACATTATGCCAACCACTAGAGCAATCTCTTAAAGATTCCCCAAATTGATCAAAAATGGTTTATTGTTTTCACTTTTTATTAAAACTCCCCAAAATCACCAAAATCAATCAAAACTGATTTATTTTCACTTTTCCATAGTCAACCAGACTACATTTGTATATTTACTGAAATAAAATTTCTATTTTTTTTTAATTTTAAAAAAAAATTCTGCGAAAAACACATTTTTACGCCAAAACACAGTGAACATGACTTGCCTGCTCGTCAAAATATAAGATGTCATTATATTTTCAACCCCCTGATTCTAGTCTAATTTTAACAATATAAGCGAGACATTTAGCATGTCAAATGTAAAACCATTCGATTTTCTACTCAGAAAGCATTTTTAACAGATGTATTACTGAATAGATATTCCAAAATTTGAATTGCCCCAAAGCCACCATTCCCCATTTGTTTAACATGGTATCTGCCATTTATGTTAAATTTCATGACACTCGTCAATTTTGACATCAAATTTTGACCTATTGCAATGGAGATATAATATTGAATTTTGCAGACTTAATAGAGAATAGAATCAAGATACGGATTTATTTACTTTATCAGGTTTTCTTTTGTTCAAAGCCTAGAAAATAGACGTTCAAACAAATATGGAGCTTATCATGTAAACCTATGAGGAAAACCAATGGTCCTTAACTTTTTTTGAGGAGCATGCGTTGTGAAACACACTATGCATGTACTACTAGGTAGAGATTGGCAGAGAGAAAGAGCAGATAAATTGGAAAAATGTTGTACAGGGTAATCTTAAAGAGATCGGGTCTCCTAAAAACACAAAAGAGTAACTCCCTGATTTTTTCGTGTTATTTGGAAAAATGTTGTACAGGGTAATCTTAAAGAGATCGGGTCTCCTAAAAACACAAAAGAGTAACTCCCTGATTTTTTCGTGTTATTTGATGTAAAACAAGTTTGTTTATCAACTTATCAATTCTGAGGCTTGAATTAATTCGTTAACTGTATCAATTCTATGATTGTTCCTAGACATGAATTTCCACTTACATCAATAGAAATTAAAATTAAAGTTCAAAAAGCCTGCTGAAATTTGTTCCAGTCTGATTGGCCTTTTCCTTCAGATTATTTTGGCTTAGAGAAGCCATATTTACTACTTCTGAGGGGTTACAATACAGATAAATCACCCAAAAACATTGTATTCTGTTTTCAACTTATTGTGTTCAATTCTGACAGTTGGTTGTTCTTTTGGTTGTCCTGTTGATATCCTCAATAAATTGTCGATATCGTGCTTGTGATTTGGTCTCAAGATATATCTAAGGTATATATGATGTTTTATGAGCAATTATATTAGGACATTACTGATTGTCCAGAACAGAAATCTGGATGACTCGATCTCTTTAAGTTACAACCTAAAAATACATCAGTTACTGAAGTCAAAAATGTGAAAGCCAAGGTCGAATCTGTTGGTAGTCTTGATACATTACTGAAGAAACATGAGTCTGTATTTGATAGAAATAAGGTAAAATGAAACATATTAAAGCAGATATTGAACTGCAAGATGATGTAACACCCGTGAGGTCTAAAGCATACAGGATGCCATATGCTGTAAAGCCAAAGGTTGACATGGAACTTGAAAGATTACAAAAATGTGGTGTTCACACCCCAGTTAGCCATTCTGAATGGGCTACAGGGATTGTCTGTGTTCCAAAGTCAGATGCTTATGTACGGTTGTGTGGGAACTAGAAGACCACAATTAATCCAGTGCTGAAGCACATGGCACCATCCAATATAAATGTAGATGATATTTTAGCAAGTTTGTCTGGAGGTGTCTCGTTCTCCAAGTTAGACTTTGCTCATGCTTACACATACTCGTTTCCCAGTTTGATTTTCAATCACATTGGTATCAGTAGCCATTTTTTCTATCCAAAAAACAAACAAATCATCTGATTGGTGCACAGTAAATCCAGCGCACAATCAGATGATTTGTTTGATTTACTCTAGGATCTCATTGGTCAGACTCTTTTTAACCATAGTTAATGGCCCTTAATTGCTTACTCAGTGATCTCCCCAGTATTGAAGCAAGTGGGCGTGGCACCCCCCTGAGATTTTGAAAATAGGTTTGCACCCACCTGAAAATCCATTTGCACCCACTTGAAAATGAGAAAAATCTTGAAAAATTGGCATATTTTGACCAATTTTGGTCTGAATTGTGAAAAAAAGAATTTTGCAGCCACCTGAGAAAAAATCCTGGGGAGATCACTGTTACTAATGAGGTTGACTGCTCAACTTCTATTTATCTAATACATAGGAATTAGCATAATGTAGGCTGGATAAGATGATATCTCATTCATCAGAATCCTCAATCTTTGACAAATTAATAGGGTTTTTGACAGAAAGGAGCACTTAGGTTATCGCAAACAATTTCAGAAGTTTATATCTTGGATTATGACTATTTTCTGGCAATGAAGACAGGTTTATCTTTTAGATCAATTCATTATCTCAAAGAAAAAAAATTATATACAGTAATAATAAAGTCAAACAAACTCTGAGATATTTAACTAGCAATCAACCCATTAACACATCTTTTCAAAGATGTTGACCCCATTTTCACCAAACATGCAATCATTTTTTACAATGTTTAATGCATTACTATTCTTTATTTTGATGTATCAAATAGTTATTGAAAGAAAAACTTAACTGCTTTAAGATAAGTGTTCCCCATGTTATTTCTCCATTGAAAAATCTCATGCTATCCATTGGTTTCAATTCATTTTGGTCATCCAAATTCAGTATCTTTAAAGTCCCTGGAGCAATCAACTTTTCCTTTTAATAAATCGAACATGTCTCAAAGCACATTCTAATTATGCATTCAACAATATAATAAAAGGTTGCATTTTTGGTGAAAATCACGTCAACATTTTGAAAAAGTATGTTGATTGGTCCATTGCCCCTTCAATATTACTTCAGTCTGATTAACTAAATTATCATTATATATACTTTTCTTGAAGCAGTGCTTTCAGTAGGCTTGTCCAAAAGTGCTTCCTTGGAACGGATTGATTTTCCAAAATTGCGTCCCCCCTCAAAAAAGTGTGTCCCCATGAAAAAAGGTTCCCGGGAATTCAAAGTCACATTTTTGCACTGAACGAAAAAAAATTGATGAAAAGTTTGCATCAGTTTTGTTATTTTTTGGCCCAGATCAGTGTTCTACACACGTCTAGTAGGTCATTAAATGATGCAGATACCTTCATTTGAAAGAGGTAACTAATATTCAACCATAAATACCATTTTACTTCGCGTATTTCAAAGCAATTTCCTATTGATTTTGATCGCTCAGAAAGTTTCATTAGGAGCAATCTCCGTGAGGTTCTATTCTTTGGTTCAGTTTTTTGCGCATGCGCAATAAATCCAGCAATTTGATTAGTTAAAATTATCAAGATGCATGCGCGATTAATAATCGCGGCCAATCATAGGACTCGTAACGATTATCGCTCGGAAATCAACTACTAGTGATTGTCCTATCACATACCTCATACTATATTGATCGGAAATCAACTTCCGGGAAAGAAACTCCGAATTTAGGAATAGAATATCCTTCGTTTATTTAGCGGATTTTGACCAAATAAAAGACTGAAGGTAAGATCTTTATCAATCCATTCATCCAGAGATGATTTTTTGATATGACCTGCACTGCGTCCAAGTGACCCCTCATTTTCATTGTTTGGGGTCCCAATAATAAAAACCGGGTCCTCTCCATTATGGGACGGCGTTAATGAAAGCACAGTGAAGATAATGAATGGATCTAAGATACACCCATGTTCATGATCAGAAAATATTAATAGTTCAAGTTAGAATCATTTGAAATTGTTTGCAATAACCTACGTGCTCCTTTTAGCCTGATATTCCAAGGTATGAAAACATCATCATGATGCTTACAACCAGATGGAGTTAACAGACACATCCAAGCAATACTTGACTCTTACTACTCATAAAGGTCTGTTCATGCAAAATAGACTATGGTATCATTTCTGCCCCAACTATCCTTTAGATTGATTGTGTTCTGTCATGCTTGAATGAATATGGCTTAAAATGTAAGAAATCGAAATGTGAGTTCATGAAAAGCTCAATATCTTACCTCGAACATGTCATTAATAAACATGGGGTCCACAAATCGGAAAAGAAAGTGGAATACTCCAAGTTAGTCAGCCAAATGATGTCACTAGTCTCCATACCTCGGTAAATTGAATTATTACCCTAGTTTCATACCAGACTTAGCATCTGTGATTGCCCCTTTCAATGTGCTATTAGAGAAAAAGAGGTTTGAGTGGAATCAGAGTGCCAATGATGTTTTTGAAAAATCCAAGAGAAAACTCATTCAGTCAGACATCCAGTCAATTTAACGTTCCACATATCATTTACATGACCAGGATCACAATCTACATGGTCAGAATGACCTTAAACATGATGAAATAAATTTTTCAGCCCTCTGAAAATGTGACTGAAAAATTGTTAAAATTTGGAGCTAAGGAAAGGTCACTGAATAGAATCTTTTGAAGTTTTCAGAAAATGTGCCCAATATATTGCTCTAAATGATACATGGACTAAAATAGGTGAGTTTTCATTGATATAGGATATATTGATACACTGTTTTAAATTTTACAATTCAAGGATCATTTGCGACAGATCATCTGTATATTTTGGTAACTTGTTGGTGATACCATAATGTTACTCAGTATAACTTTTCCAAACATTCTGTTCATCCATTGCTGAGAAAATAGTCAAAAAGCCGCTCTTTTTTGAGACAGTAATCTTCTTACAATTTAAAAACACGAACTACTCACCAAAACCATTATTAAAGTGACACCTCCAAATAATCTGTAAAACGTCACCTGGAAAAAAAGAGAATTTCATGGCGAATTTTGGAATGCACATATAAAGTAGAGTTACTAACTTTATCCTACCAATACTTATATAGTCTGTTAAAGGCATATTGTAACATACAGCCGACAAAATGGTTCAAAAAGATTTTTTAGGCTTGGAGTCAATTTCATGCTTTAAAACCTTCTCTGATGATTCTATTTTTGAACTATGCATGCAGGTCCATCCAAAGTCTACCCTTTGCATTCGTTTGACTTCACTTCTTAAAAGAGAGCTTCGTCTTCACTCTTTCAAACTAAAATAAACCTATGAACTCACCGCGCCAATCAGTGTTCGTCGGCCAATTTTGACCGACGTTCTTTATATGGTCATTCATTCTGACATCATCGTTGAGTCCGGAATTGACCAATGACATGCGCATAATTAATTAGAACGCATTTGGCGTATGTTTCTTCAAGCTCACTGAGTGGTGGAAGGTCAGCGCGTAGGTCAAAAGTGATTTACCCAAACTGTCACTGGTACCCGTCGTGGGGGCGGGGCTACTAAACTGTAATATGGTCTCTACTAGGCAGAGTGTAGTTTAACTAGACTCTGAACGCAGGGTATCCAAAGTCGTCTATTAAACATTGAAAAGTCATATTTAGACCGAGGATTGAAAGGTGTTCACGACAACTTTTAGCTCATCTGTATTACAACAGACCGGAAGTGAATTTTCCAGTTGAGTAAATGGTGATAATGTTGTTTTTATGAACCGGTGAAGTCAAAACATTACAAATAAAAATCATTGTAGGCATTTGTAGATCATTAAGAAGCATTTAAAATCGAATCCATGGCAAAATCTGAAATAATTTAAATATTCCTAACGGATGTCAGAGAAAACACTTCCGTTTTAATAATCACTGTTAATTGCGTCAGTAAAAGCTAAAAGAAATCAAAATATCATTTTGCAATAATATATGGAAAAATATATTCCTATTGTACATGAATGATATTTGTATATCTTGGATTGCTTCTAGTTTGGCTTATAAAGTGTTTGGCCTCTTATATTTGGATGCTTTGCTGCCATGTTACATGTATTTTCAATAAGATTAACATGGCTGAAATTCTTCAAATTACAAGATGGCACAGGCTTATTGCACAAAAAATAAAAAATCTTAAATATACAAATATCAATCATGTACAAATCATGTACATTATGAATATACCTTTCCATATATTATTGCACAATGGTCTCCCAATTTCTTATTTTTTCGAGGTCTCCTCTGTCGAAGGCAGCGCGAAGTAGGAGCGTAGCGACTACTTTGCGGGAGACCTCGAACCATTGATCACGTTTGCTCCTGTAATTATTCACTTCTTCACCTCTTTAAAATGTGATTTCAAACAGTTGATCAAATTTTCGGACTTTGACATCAAATTCAAATATTAATATTTATAAAAAAAAATACTGACTCATTATTATATTTTTAAAAGTCTTTCAAATAAAGTGAAATGAAGCCAAAATCAGCTAAAATTATGCAATGTCGTAAAATGGCGTGACTGGAATATGATGCAATCAACTGTGACGTCAGCCACGTATTGCCACATCAACAGCTAAACAAACAATTAATATAGACTTCACTGATTGGTTTAAAGATTCTTCGCATCATTTGTGACGTCATAAACATGTTACCCAACCAACAACTAAACAAATAACAAAAAGGAATATAGGTTCGTTCAGTGCCACGCTCTTCATGCTCTTGAATCACAATCTCCAAGCCTTTCGCCCAGTGCAATCAGTACCTCCTGTGCCTCAGGTAGTGAAGGTACGCAACGAACGAAATTAATTTTGAGAATGCTTGAATCAATTATAATTAGAGGTTATGTCACTATCGTGGCATATATGCCCGAGGTCTCAGTGATATATGGCCCGACCTTGGGAGGGACATTGATCTCTGAGAACCGAGGGCATATGTGCCACGATAGTGACATAAACGATTTATAACATACCTATGATGATGTAGACTTGTCAGAGAGTACCGTTTTCTTATAGAATTGACAAACAAATGGTTTGAAAATGATTGAAATGAGTTTAGAAAAATTGCTCGCGCAGTTTTATCTTCGACTGATTGGTTATGACGTCAGCGCCTTGACCAATCAGAAAGTTAGCGGGCGCGGGCTTTTCAAAACTTATATTGGCCCGCTGTCTTGTGTACACTTTGCACTATACATCATCATAGGTATGTTATAAACAGGGATAATCAACAGATATATGAGAGGGTCAAGCATTTTTTTGACTTGGAGACCTCGACTCGAGGAGTTTGCTGCATTTTCTTGTTTGCCGTGACGCAATGAAACAGTGAAATGGACTCTAATTTAGAGAACCTCGGGCCATGGCCTGAACATATTCCACGGGTTTTCAACTATAAACAATGATTACAGTATATTTAATTTATTCAAATGCACGACACTTACTATATTTGGAGACACATCATAGTACAAAGCAGATGTATTAGGAGAACTTGCAGTACTTGTAATTTTATCCGCCATTTTGTCCAAGTCACATGATCATATGATTCGGAACTCTTTATATCCAGGAGGAGTGAGTAGCTCCCATAATTCTTTCATATTCTATCGTATTCGGGGATTCCCCATTACATCATCTCTTGCATCATCTCCAATCAAATTGCAGGATTCGATCACGTGAACAATCATGGGCACATGCTCTCTCAGTGCTGCGCATGCGCAGAGTTAAATTTGAAATCGTGAGAATGGCGTTTACATCAGTTCAACATCGTCATTTCAAACCTACGGTAATACTATCGAAGTTACTCGATCCATACTTGTAGAGAATACTCATAAAACTACAGTGAACATTTAAAGATCCATTTCAACGGCAAATTGAGGCATGTTTATAAAATTTGTTTTCGAACATGCTAATATGATAGGGCATCTTTGGGAAATCTCCCCCCCTGCTTTATATCTGTCTTTATATTCACGAAATCACTAAACTTCAGCAAATAAAAGATATAAATTGTAATTATAAGAAATAGCGATATTATAAAAATACTTATTATATCATATAAAACTTATTTTACCATTCAATATGAAAAATAACTCCAAATTTGAAGTAGATTTGATTCACTTGAGTTTTCCATACAGAACCTGATCTTGTGATTTGTAAACAAAAAAATGGAAAAGGAAACCAAAAGATTAATTGAAAGTCGTCCTGCGCCCGATTCAACGTCTGCTCCTCTGTTCCATGATAGCAGTCAGTCTCCAACTGCAGTAAGGCGTTCAATATAATCAATTTAGGCCCATGACATGAGGTCAATAGCTCGGAGAAGTGAATATTGAAATTGGCTAATCATTTTACTTCCGGGTTGATCATATTTGGACTCTTACTTTATTTGCACAAAGTCATTAATCTTTAAATCAGAGGCCAAGGGAAAAGTAGTAGTAAGCTGTATCATGGGCCTATGCTTTAAATAGTATGTACAGTCTCAGATACAGTCCTTGAAGGGTTCAATTTTAAAGATTTTTAAATCTCAAAATAGCTCTAATTATTAACATTTCTACAATTCCGGCTTTATTTAATGACTAGACGGATGACAGATCCATAAATAAAGGCATATGGGTGCATTATAATGTGTAATGACCCGAGGGCGCCCCAGGGAAATAACTAACTAACGACCGCGAGCATAGGTCCAACAAGCCAGATAAAGAAATTGAAGAAAGTGTGCTAAATTCGAAGTTTATCTTGTCTTCTTACATGTAAGTCTCCTTCTCTAACAGAAGTGAATCAAATGTTAGGCATTGAACTTTATTAATAGATATGACAAAACATTTTTTGCTGACTGACAATATTACATTATGATTTGAAATACCGAGCCACATGTACATCAAACCATTGGAAAGCTTGTTTAGTGTTCTTTAATCTCATTCATAACAACATTGAATTAAAGAGATCATGTCTCCTAAAAACACAATTAAAGTAACCCCGTATATATGTAGGGTTTGCAGGCCCCTAGCCAGGATTTCCGAAGGGGGGTTTACTTTTTAAAAAATTCCAGGGGGTTCACTTGTGACAATTTTGGTCCAAAAATGGCCAAAAGCACTTAAAAAGTGCTCAGAATTGTAAAAATGATTTTGAAAGATATTTTGTCCAAGGGGGGGGGGGGGTTCGCTAAACCCATTGAACCCCCCCCCCTGGCTACGGGCCTAGTTTGATATCAGTTCTTAGGTTCTACTTGCAACTAGGTGGTTTTTTTCTATAAAATCATGCATACAATTAGATAAAATACAATTATAGAAATTTCAAGTAACATTACATCTTTCTGATCATTATTTCATTATCAAAAATAGCTTTTAAATTACTAGCTGTATTGACCCTTTTTTAAAATCATGTATAGCTTTTTTAATTACCAATGTTTTAAGTAAATCTTTTTTAACAATTGCATTTTCAATTTTTTGATCATTTGTAACATTTACATCATTCCAAATTGATTTAATACAGTCACAATTGATAAAGAAGTGGTCAATGTCATCTTTTACATGTGCGTTACAAAAGTTACAGATGTCAGAGTTTTCTATGTTACATTTCTTCAAATAAATATTTTGAGGGTAAATACCATGTAAAATTTTCCATTGAATTACCAAAAGGGTAGTATCGGTTGTACATTCAAAAAATTGAGACCAGACTTTATCGTTTAGAATCTCACCATTAAATTTTATGTCACACTTTCTCTCTTAAACAATTTTTGTTCTCACATTTCTTGAGTTTAAAAGATGGCTCTCAATGCCTTTAAAAAATAATTTTGTACAAGGTGTTTCCATTTCATATTTGATAAGGAGTTCTTGTGTTAAACATGCTTTAAGTGCATTATATTGAAGAATTGTTTGGCCATTTCTCCCTATTTTCTGGACAATGTTATCATATGCTAACATTTCCCTATCCTGAACAACATCTGAAATATATGTAATGCCCTTTTCAATCCACCATGTTGAAATGGACCATGGCCATACCATGGTATACCATGGTATGGCCATGGTATACCATGGTATATGGCCATGAAATGCAATGAAATACCATGGTATTATCATGGCCAATCATGATCGTTAAATGGCACCATTACATTTCATGGTTAACAGCGTGTTTTTAACATGGAGTTTTCCATTGAAAAAATACTGCCGATTCGCAGTATTTCGTGGTCAGAAACCATCAAATGCAATGATATCATGGTCAAGTTCTCGGCCATGATATCATTGCATTTGATGGTTTCTTGACCATGATATCATTGCATTTGATGGTTTCTGACCATGAAATACTGTGAAACGGCAGTATTTTTTCAATGGGAAACTCCATGTTAAAAAAGTGCTCCCGACCATGAAATGCAATGGTGCCATTTAACGATCATGATATACCATGGTATACCATGGTCAATTAACATGTAATTTTGTATCTAAAAAATACCACCGATTCACAGTATTACATGGTCAAATACCATCAAATGCAGTGATATCATGGTCTAGACATTCAACCATGATATGCAGTGGAGCCATTTAATTACCATGATCTACCATGGTATACCATGGTCACTATTACTTAAAATTTTGCATTTAAAAATACTGTTATTTTGCAGTATTTCATGGTTGCAGACCATCAAATGCAATGATGGATGCAATCCATCAAATGCAATGAAGTACAGTCAAGATGTTTAATCGAAGACTGGAGGTTGGACTTACAAAATATTAAGTTTATTTCCTATTTTACTGACAAAAGTCAAATAAAAGTAAAGCATATTTATTTACCAAAAAAATTTTGTTTCTAGGGTTATTAACTTAATTGTTCATCATAGAAATTAATTTATTAAATAAATGAACAAAAGTATATAAGGTTGTGATTTTGATGAATATCAGAATCACTAATTATAATAATTTGGTTATCTAATTAACATTTATTAATAAAGATATTTCATGTAAAAATACTTTTTGAACATGGTCTTTCATTGTATTTCACTGCATTGCAAGAAAGACCATTGCATTTCATTGCATATCATGATCAATCATTGCATTTCATGGTTAAATGTGGTATTTCAATGCATTTCATGATCCATTTCAACTCTGACCAATTTTAGACTTGACACTCTTCTTAGAGTTCTTTTTAGCAATGAAATACCATGGTATTTGATGGTCAGGTTTGACAATGAAATGCTATGAAATACAATCAACCACGAAATGCAATGATATGCCATGATAAATGATAGTTATGATTTTGGCAATGAAATACCATGGTATGACCATAGTATTTGATGGTCAGGTTTGACAATAAAATGCCATGAAATACCACCAACCATGAAATGCAATGATAAAACCATGATAAATGAGAGTTATAATTTTGGCAATGAAATGACATGGTATGACCATGGTTATTGATTGTCACACGGTACAATGAAATGCCATGAAATGTCATCAACCATGATATACCATGGTAATACCATGGTAAATGATGGTCAGGTACATAACAATAAAATACCATGGTATGACCATGGGATTTGATTGTCACATCGTACAATGAAATACCATCAACCATGATATACAATGGTAATACCATGGTAAATGATGGTCAGGAACATGGCAATGAAATACCATGGTATGACCATGGTATTTGATTGTCACATCTTATAATGAAATGCCACCAACCATGATATACCATGGTAAATTATAGTCAGGAACATGGCATTGAAATACCATGGTATTTGATTGTCACACCTTACAATGAAATGCCATGAAATGCAATCAACCATGATATACCATGGTAATACCATGGTAAATGATGGTCAGGAACATGGCAATGAAATACCATGATAATACCATGGCATTTGATGGTTAACTTTGAACATGAAATACCATGAAACATGGTATAACATAATATACAATGGTATACCATGGTCAAAAATTGACCAAAAAACATCATTGCCACCATGGTCAGAGTTGATGGTAATTTCATGGCCAATCATGATAGACCATGGTAAACCATGGTATACCATGGTATCATGGTTTACGTTTAAACATGGCAGTTTTCAAAAAATAATGGAGAATTATTGAGAGTTACATTTTCATTGTTCCAAATAATGCTCTCATTTTTAAAATCATTGTGTTTTAACCATACATGTAATACATTTTTAAAAAAATTACTTGATATTGTTCCTAGTTTGTACCTAGTTGTACCTTTAATTCTATCAAAATCTATGTTTGAATTAAAAATACTGAGTCCATTACCCATTTTTCCATACATGTACATGAGTAAGCCTCTCCAGTGACCATTGCCTCTTTCTTGCATTTTTTTAACCCATTGTGTTGTATAAGCTATTTGTAAATCTTTAGCATTTATCATTTTTAACCCTCCATATTTATATTCTTGTACCATTACATCCCTTTTCACTTTGTCAGGAATCTTTTTCAATTCATCCTCTTTAAATCTGCCTTTTGCCCAAATAAATTTAAACAACTAGGTATAACTATTGTCCTTTGGTTTGTTTTCAGAAGCGGTTACAGTATGCCTTTGTAGGAATAGTAGTGATCATGGTCCTTGTAAGTACTGATATATTGGTTGTCACAAATTCTTTGTGTAAGATAAGTATGCTTTCCCAGTAAAGCCAGAAGCACTCGTTGGCATAAGCTGCTCCCTCAAAACCTAGGTTTGCCGTTATCCAGATCCACCTTTGCAAAAATGTAAATGGTTTATAATTAGAGTCGTTCATGTTATTTTAGGGAGTTTTCCTCGTTATTAATACTATATTGTAAGATTTTGACCCAGACTGACACAACAGAAATTGTCAACACTGGAGGATGGTAATAGCGCGGAATTGTATTTAATCAAATATTATTCATATTCATAGAATAAAAATAAATATGTTTCACGTTCCTAATCTCTACTGGTCAATCTTACTTTGCTTTTGTAGCCGTTGTACTGATATATTATCTTAGTCGAAATAGAGAATGAATGAGTATAATGGGTCTTCTAGCTTTGCACATTTTAGGCCAATCAAAATACATTACTATTTTTGATACGATTAACGCCTTGTAACACATATGTAATTCTATGTAATTCTAATTAAACAAATTTTTATATTTCTTTGCCTCATCACTTATCTCGTTTGGAATGGCCTTAATCCCTGGTGCACCTTGGTCCGCGAAACGAACATTTAAATAAGGGATTCAGGGGTGGATCTGGGAACCAACAAGGGGGGGGGGCAAATTTCAGGTCAGAGAAAAAAACGTCTGGGCCCCTAAAACCCAAAAGTCTGGGCCCCTTAAACCCAAAAGTTGGCCCAAATTTAGAAATTTTGAGGCCCATTCTTCAAAATTTGGCCTGAAATTAAAAAATAAGGCCTTAAAAGGCCCAGTAATGATCAAAAAATTTTTTGGACCCAATTTTCCTTTTCTGGGGCCCCCCCCCCACCCCCCCACCCCCCCTAATGCGCCAGTGGGATTAGCACACCCGGGTGTGAGTGTAAACCTCCTGTTCACTGTCAATAAATTATGAATATAACACAGACGATTGCCCTCTGGTGTTTACATTTACCACTGACTTACCATCTGTACAAGGTTTTAGCCTCCATATTGATCCATCTTTTTAAAAGGGTCAATAACACCAGCTATAAGAAGATACGGACCCTGTTAGACTTGGACTATTTATCCGGCGTAAGATCTCCAGCGATATAAGTGCTAGGGCAATCGTGAAAGTTTATTTTATTAGAAAAAAAATTTGGGCCCCTAGAACCCAAAAGTGGGCCCAAATTTTGAAATTTTGAGGCCCATTTTCTTCAAAATTTGGCCTGAAATTAAAAAATAAGGCCTTAAAAGGCCCAGTAATGATAAAAAAGCCCACTTTTTGGGGCCAATTTTTTTTTGTGGGCCCACCCAAGGGGGAGCCTTCCAAGGTCGGCCTATACTAGTATAACCTCTTACTAGCACAATTGAATATGTGGTTACATTGGGAATATTTGATTTTCAAATGTTTTAATTATTGAGAGTGCTTAATATGCTTGTATTTTTTCAGATAAGCATTGGTCTGAGTATATACAGGGGAGCTGTGACTGGAGTCAATAATGGTCTCTACTTTATGCTGGGCATAAGTCTTATAGGATTTGTTGTCATAGAAATATTTCTTGTAAGTATAAAAGTTGATGACTGGTCATGCTGGGTATACTTGTAAGTTTTATAGTATTTTTTGTCATAGAAATATTTCTTGTAAGTATAAAAGTGTACAGTATGGTTAATGAGAACTCATGATTTTGATTAGGTTCATGACAAATGAACATTTTAGATATTCTATATTTATAAATGATTTCTTATATGTTTTCCAGATCCGGTTTATAAGAAATGAAGATCTTCCTAAAGAAAAGTCCTGGTTCTTATACTTTGTTGGAGCATGTGTTATATTAGAAGCTATCTTTACAAATGTTCTACTATTTGATGAGAATTGATTGACTCTGTGAAATTGAGAGAAGGAAACAATGGATACTCTGTTAATACATATTAAACACTATGGATTTATATTCTTGTAAATACGTATATATTTCAGTTGAAAATAGAATGTGTATATCATGTTATGTATATTTTTGGAAATTATTTTAACTATACTTATAGTGTTAAAAACATTTTGGTGTGCCATTGTACAAGCAAATGGATAATACCAAGAGCATAACTCTTAAAATATATGGATAAAGATATGTATGTTCTTCTTATTCATTAAGTTACATTGTTAATGTAACTATACATGTTGGCACTGTAATGCTGCCTTTAGACATTTGATACAGTCTTTCCCTAGATACTATAACACTTATTATCCCAACATGAAGTTCGGTAGGGATATAGTTAAGCCCTCTGTCCATCCGTATGTCTGTCAGTCCATCCGTCTGTCTGTCCATCCGTCCTTCCAGAAGATAACAAGAATACTAGTGGACAGATTTGCTTCAAAATTGCTGGAAAGATGTACGTATATTGGTGGATAGTTTTATGCAAAAATATATTTAAGATGGCCGCCGCTTTTGAAATGACGTGAATAGGAATTTTACTTTAATTTTGAGATCTTTCTAAAATATAGCTTTATTATACTCAAATGAAAGGAAATGAAAAGTAGATTGCAAATATATTATCATTTTTCTGATTCAGGCCTCGTAAAATTCAAAATGGCCACTTAATGTAGAAAATTAGCAATGGTTCACAATCTCTTCAAAGAATGACCATATTATACTCAAACATAGTACCATGAAGCAATGCAGTGTGTATGTCTGCGATTAAGAATCAGATGAAATAAATGTATGCTCATTTAAAGAATGAATAAGGGCTTCATTAATGAATATTTATGTCCCATTTTGTAAATGTTTATATAGTATTTTATACTCCGTTTACTTCATCTACCTCCGGAAAACATTCTTCATCAATATATAACTCAAAAATGGGTTTCTCATTCAATAACCACAGTATTGAAAGTGTTATGCAATACAAATATCTAGGATGTAAGATTAAACAGCAATATAAATAACGACATCCCAGTTAGTATCGAATTGCTCCTTTTTGACTCTTTAGTTGAACCAATTTTAACTTATGCCTCAGAGGTGGATCCCGGAGGTTGATAATTGAAAAAAATCTCAAGTCAGTTGAAACAATGGATTTATTTTTTCTTAATGTGTACTTGGTGTTAAAATATCAACTGCAGTTTATGGAGGATTGGAACATTTATAATTATTAAAAATATGTTTTGAAATCAAGCTCATCAAATATTGGCTCCGTTTACTCCACTTACTTCTTGAAAACATGCTTTACAAAGCATACAGGCAAATATGATAATTGATATTTTCAAATAACAAATTCTGTTATTTTACCAAAGCCTGTCCCATGTGTGTATTATTAAGCCTAAATATCAACATCATTTAATTGTGCTATTTTACAACTGGTTATTATCATGCAATATATACTGAAAATATTGCTATTATCCCATCGTACGAAGTTCGGAGAGACATAGGGAACGCCTCCACCCTTCGTACGTCTGTCCAGGCAATAACTCAAATACCATTGGCCCGATTTTGTTCATATTTTGTACACATACACGGTACGTCTAATGGCACGCCTGACACCATGCCACGGCGTCGACATGCCGCCCGAATTTCGTGGTCAACTCGAACGCGTTTCGTGGTCACCGCGGGCGCGTGGGGTCAACCCAGTTGTCCGAAACCCTGTTGTCCGAAACCCAATTCTCCGAAACCCAGTTGTCTGAAACCCAGTTCTCCGAAAATTAGGGGATCTTATCAAAAAAATACAATTTCTTAAAACGAATCTTTTTGCAACCTCTGCGAATCACGACAGCATAACATTTGAATCACGTTGACATCATTGCAAAATTAGGCTAAATATGCTAACAGGCTAAGTCAAGACGTTAATTAGCCCACGAAAGTTCATGGGTAACTTGAGAACTACAAAATACAACCAAATACTTTTCGAACGTACAATAGCAATATTTCTCACGTAACCACGATGCCCATGTCCTAGGCACGCAGTTTGAGACTCTGATAAACTGCGCGCATATTTCAAAATGTGAGACGGGGAGGACACGACTCCCAAAAAGAGCCAAAATACGAAAAATACAAGGTTAGTCTCGTTCTAAAGATCGTACCATTCTGTGAAGATGAACTTAATTTACTCATAGTACTCAATGTTTTTCCCGATGTAAACCTAGTTATCTCAATAGTCAATATAAGGGTCTTAAGTAACGTTTGTGTTCAAAATTTACAGTGTAAAGTTATATCTATGTCTTTTTATCGTCATTTGCCGTTTATTCAGCCATTGTGTCTGTGTATGCTAGAATATATAGGATCACTCCATCTGATTAAATCAGCAAAGTTTGTGTTCAAAACGATAATACGCCATAAACGTGATTTAAACATTTTTCTTGTCAAACTGCGCGCCTATATTCACATGTATTTCCCAAACTGCGTTCCTAATATTTCCAAACTGCTTGCCTATCCAAGCTTGTTTTGTATTATTAGAAAACATAAGCGCCATACACGGCACATATGTGTCTAAAAGTAGAACCCCATAATTGAAACACTATGAGAGTCCATCCACCAAGATGGTGATCTGAAAATAAAAGTTTTTTTCGTTCCCAACTTAATTGTCACTTCTATTATACATTTTGACTTTCAATATGAAAATCTCATAAAATCTGACGATAAAGCAAAATTTCCAAAGCTACATGAAAAACACCTACACGTGCCTCTGTAGAAATTCCAATGATAATATGTAGTTTTAATAGTGTATGCGCACAGTTTGTAATTTCTGGCTAAAATAGGCGCGTAGTTTGTGATTTATTTCTTTTTAATCTCCTGATTATTAGATAGGTTCCAAATCAAATAATTCAAGTTTTTGAGGCATTTTTTAGAAAAAGCAACAGACCTATTTTTACTAGATCAGTTTTTTATGCTGATAAAGATATTGAAAGATGACAGCTCAACGGGGTGGTCACGACACTAAATTTTGGCATTTTTACCCCCCTAGGAAAATATTCTAGGGGGTACTATGAAACTAGTTCATAACTCAAAGGATATATGAACTATTGTTCTGAGTTTTACACCATACATTGCTAGTACAAATATGAATACTATCCTAAAGTTATGGGTTGATACCCTTATTGGTCTCAGAAAAATACAAAAAACAGGATAAGATACACAATTTTTGTCTTGCCAATTTTATATTTGTAGCTTCAAGCACAATATGACAGCTTTAACAGCTCATAGTAGTATTTTAAAAACATTTCTAAGCTATTTGTGGTATTGTAATACATCTATTTTAGTTATGAAGTACTATTTTGTAATTTTAATATGACTTTATAGTGCCCTACCCCTAGAAAATTGAAGAAAGTGGATGTGGTGAATTTTATCATTTTGCAGCATTAAGTCAGAGACATGTATTGATAGACACCAAACCAATAAATTCATACCATCATCAAATGTTAGGTGACATTCTAATTCATTTATTACTAGAATATAGGACTTAAGATATTTTATATGTACGTTTTCAATTAAGTACATGTATCATAATGAAATCTAGTGTAATCACATACTAGAGAGGTTGGCATACAGTCTGGACATTGACATACAGTCTAAACATTATAATCATCAATTGATCTCATTTGAGCAACTAGACTATGGTGGTCATCATGCACAAGTAATGTACAGTAGAACCTGTTAAGTGGAACATCTCTGTAAGTGGAACACCTCCCAAGTGGAACGCCTTTTCAAAGTCCCGTTTTAAAAACCCATTGACTTAATGTTAATTGAACCTCTGTAAGTGGAACACCTCCAAACTTGAACAGTGAACACCCCATATTGAAAAATTAACCTGTTAAGTGGAATAGTCAATTTCCATAGATTTCAATATTGATATATGTAAACAGAATTAATCTCCTTCAATGATATCTGGGTATGAAAACAGGTAATACTGTGATAATTGGCAAATTAAGATTTTAATGGATTTTAATGGATTAGCCTCCTGTAGAGGTCAACATGTGATGCAACCAATAATTAATTTGATAATCAGCAAATGAGGATTTCATAAGATTTTCATTCAGAAAATTGGATTAACCTCCTGTAGAACTGGACATGTTATGCTACCACTAATTAATATCCCTTGCTGTTTGTTTCAAACTTAATAAGTAAGATTAAAAATGTCATTTAAAAACAATTGAATTATTAACAGTAGGAACAAGTCTTTAAAACTTAATTGCCTAATCCTTGTACCTGAGACTGGCACAATTAGGAGGATTAAGAATGTCAGAAAACATTTTTGGCAGAATAAGGAGGATTAAGAATGTCAGATACCTTTTTGAGTTAAATAAATGGATTATTAATGGTATATACCTGCCCTGTAATGAAGGGAGAATCATATTTCCAATGATACATATAAATCTTATACTTGATCTTGTATGTTCCCTGCCAACCCAAAACCTCCGTAAGTGGAACATCTTCTAAGTGGAACGCAGAACGGAGAGTGTTCCACTTACACAGGTTCTACTGTATTTACATAATAATGTTATAAAGGAGCATGTAGGTTATCGCAAACAACTTCAGACAATTCTAACTTGAATTATGAATATTTTCTGACCATGAACATGGGTATATCTTTTAGATCTATTCATTATCTTCAAGAAAAGTAAATATAATGATTAATCAGACCTAAGTGATATTAAAGGGAATGGCCCAATCAACATACTTTCATACTTTTTACTAAAAATGTTGACCTAATTTTTTACCAAAGATGCAACCTTTAATTATATTGTTGAATGCATAATTAGAATATGCTTTGAGACATGTTCTATTTCCTAAGAGGAAAAGTGGATTGCTCCAGGGACTTTAAAGACACTGAATTTGGATGACCAAAATGAACTGAAACCAATGGATAGCATGAATTTTTTCAAAGGGGAAATAACATGGGGAACACTAATCTTAGGGGAATTCAGTTTTCTTTTCAAGAGCTATTTGATACATTAAAATAAAGAATAGTAATGCATTAAACATTGTTAAAATGATTGCATTTTTGGTGAAAATGAGGTCAACAACTTTGAAAAAATATATTGATGGGTTGATTGCTAGTGAAATATCTCCGAGTCCGATTGACTTTATTATCCCTGTATACCCATCTTCATGGTCAGAAAATAGTCATAATCAAAGATATAACTGTCTGAAATTGTTTGTGATAACTTACCTGAACCTTTCCAGGTCAAATCAGGAGTGACAAAATTATTTCAACCAAATTTTTGACATGTCTTCAAATACGATAATATTTTCTTCATAAGATAGAGTGTCACTTGTGAAATTTATTGATTGACCTGAGATCGTACCATATCTTTATGACAGAGAAGCGAAATAGCCATATTGAACTTTAATGATGTTTGTTTAATTGTTGTTTGCCACTTTTCGACAATTGTCAAAATTTGGGGGTTTTGGGGGAGGGGTACAATTAGGTTAAAAAATTCACCTGATTCAGACTATCCTTAAATGAGCACTGATTCACCCGAGAGCATAACTTTTTCAAAACATGTAAGTGTTATGTTTGGACCACTCACATTAATGTTTCGTCTAATTTTCCCTT